TGACATTCGCAAAACATGCTGGAATGGATAATCCCCTAAGTGAGGTATCTGCTAGAGACCTAGTATTAAATAAACAGAACTATCGTATGACTACTTATGTATTTTTTTTCTTTTCGAAGGTCTGCTAGAAGCTAAAGAGGAAACTATTTAACAAATAGGTTTATTTACGCAAAATCGGATACAAAAGTTTGAGAACATTATTATCTTTTTTTCGGTTAATGTGGGGTAAGATCGGATGACCATAAATAAAAAAATAAAAAAATGTGGTTGCGCCCATGTCACGAGGATTTTTTTTAAAAGCTCGCTACCATGTTTTTCAATGGGGAAGTTCGGATATTTTTTATTATAAACTGTGTGCCATCTAGTCCTAGAAACGATTATAGACAGTACTCCGATGTTTCCCCACCAAGGTCCGATCATTCCCTTGTTTCTGAAAATGTATGTTTTGTCTTTAAACAGTTGTCAACGAGCAACTGTGCCACCTACAGAACAATGAAATTCGGAACTTAACGTATGTCCCCTTAGGATTTATTTTTCTAATATCTCATTAGCAAGACGTATATCTTTATTCGAGAAAAAAAGAATTACATCATCGTTCCAACTTAGCGAAAATGCGTCCGAACTTACCCCAACGCACCTTAGAAAAGCAATAAAAAAAAAATGTGTTATGAATTGATGGGATAACTAATATTAATTAAAATTATAAAAATAATGGAACAATAAAAATCAGTTCAAACTTCAATTCAATTAAATGACTATAGTAAAAAGAATATTAGCTTAATAAATATTATACAATAATTTAAAAATAAATGTCACTGTGGTAAAGTATTAAATATGTGCATAAAATTACATCTTTCGGCCATATTAGAATAAATGGGAGTCAATTTAAAAATAAAATACTTAATTGCTAATATTAAACAAATAGGCGTTTTCCTATCCTATCTTATCGCAGGTGATGACAAATACGCATCCCACTACGCACAAGAACTAGTTAAGTGGTAAAAAAGCAAATGACAATATAAATAAAAGGAAACAATGATAAGTTAAGGTTAAGTTAAGGTTGAATTGAACTTTGACACTATATAATTACAAATTACATTTGAAATAATTATTAACGAATATTACAAAACTAAATTACTTACAAACTTCAATCCGCAATGTAGGCTTCGTCAAATAACTTGTCAATTGAACAATTTTTTCGCTACTTCCGGGTAACAACACAAAAATTAATAATAAACACACAAAACAGTTAATAAAGAATATAATAAAAAAAAAATTAAAAAAAAAAGTCATAAGTCGTCTTAAAGTATGTGGGATTTGAACTCTAGTCCACTGTCACCGCAGTAACCATGCTAAGCCGCTAGTCCACGCGTTAGTCGTACACTTGTGCCGAAATTAGTAGTTAACTCAGAACATTCATGAATCGTTGAAAGTAGTCACCTTGGGGACGATCGTTAACAGATCAATCGATCATTAACACCACAAATTTGAAGTCACTTTGTAAACATGTTACCGTCAATTTACAATGAAATTATTAAATTCTCCATATCAAAATACTAAATGGTTTATTTAGTAGGTACACATATTGTTTAAAATACATTACTTAAAGGCACAGCAATATTTATTTCTGCACTAGCAAACTGTATAGCAAGTCACTTGTGAAGAGTTTTTGTTCCTTGTAAGTCACAATTTTTTTTTTTGGAAAGTAGTCGAAAATACGGGAATTTCACTTCAATAACACTTGTACTAGACATTTGCGAGGCACTGAACGTTTAATAATTACTTCCAGCGTTATATATATAATCAAAACTTTTATAAAGATTTATTAAGTCAACAGGTAACTTGGTCGCGCGACAGTCTCAAAAAGTGCATGTTATTGACTGTCGCCGCTTAAAAGACTATTTGAAAAATTCAAAATTGTTTTTGCTATTATAAAAGTACTCTAAAAACACAAAAGAAAAAAATATATAATAAAAAGGATAATAGTTAAATGATAACCTGGCTTAAAGAACTTGTATCCAAATCAAAATTCTAATTTTTAAACAAAGTGCGTTACTATTCTAAACATTTTCTTTTCCTGTCATGCTTTCAACATTCAGCGACTGTTTCTCATAGACCAGCTCTTGAAAAAATATCAGAGGATTCCGCCTTCACTACAGGACATTTTAGCTTGCCCAGAAAATTTCATCCCTACATATGACTTTATTAACTCCACCCTTGTAGAACTCGGACTTACCTTGTAACTCCAAAGTGACAATGACTCTACAACTAGAGATCAAAAAGTAAAGAGAACGGACACTCTCCGCCCCTCCCTAGCTTTAGATACCGCACCACGCCCCGCACATTGCCGGTTACTTTGACTGAATGACAACAAGGCTGCCGCCCGGCGAGCCGTTTTCACGCGAAGACGGCTTTGATATTTGAATATAGTTTTCATTTATTCATTACGAAACTTGTACGTTAGTATAAAACATTATTTTACGTTACTATTTATAATGGTCGTGAATAGTGCTGTGTACGGCTGTTTATCATCATTTTCCGAAAGATGAAACGAAGTAGGTAAGTAAAAAAACTTATGTCTTAAGGTCGTATTCTAGAAATCTACTCAATGCTCAAGTCAGGATATGAGTATGGTTTAAAGCACTCGAAATCATACTCAACTCCCTGCCATTAGGGTCGTATTTCCAGTGCTTGTGTTTCAATTGCAATCCTGACTTGAGCATTGAGTAGAGTTCTAGAATACGAGCCTGAGAGTCGTATTCCAGAACTCTACTCAATGCTCAAGTCAGGAATTGAGCAGACTTGAGTATGATTTCAAGTACTGGAAATACGACCCTAATGGCAAGGACTTGAGTATAATTTTGCTTATGAGTGCTCAGTGCAATACTCAAGTCCTGACTTGAGTATTGAGTAGTGTTCTGGAAATACGTCCCTAAACGCCAGAACTTGAGTATAATTTCTAGTGCTTTAAATCATACTCAAGTCCTGACTTGAGCATTGAGTAGAGTTCTGGAATACGACCACTAGACTCATTCAGTTATTGTTTTCTTCATTTATTTACTGCCGAGTAATATACGTATGTATGAAAAATACAGATTTATTATATCAATGTAATGAGGCGCCATGACTTCGTGAGCTAGCTAATAGACAAGGGTTCTCGAATTTTCAATTCATATTGCCGATAAATATTACGTAAGTAGCAAATATTCCTAATTATTAACTAAGTAATGATGATCAACTTGGACACGCAATTTCAAATACCTTGGTTACTTTATTTATAAGTACATGTCCAAAATATAACATTTTAAGTGCTTTTAATATATTTTTTAAATAAATCTTCAATATTACTCTTGTTAGTGAGTTAATGAAAAATATGATATTATATCGATATAAGATAGATAATAGACGTGTGTAATTATTAGGATTCTGGATTCTATTAATAAAATCATAGATAATAGATTTGCGTTAGCATTTTCGCTATGTTGCCGCTCTGATTACGTAACGTAATAGTGCAAGAAAGTGCTGGCTAACCTGCCACTTCACGCACACATTTGCGTATGTGCAGATAGCGCCTTGCTGTATGTAGTAGTAGTAGGTAAATGGTTTTCGACCGTTGCGTTGTATGGTGCGTCTGGGGTGTGCTACAACTACAACAAATACGAGACGTTAACCCAAGATCTGACCATTTGCCTCAAATTTAACATAGGTACTGAAGATTTGGCTTCGCCTTCATAAAATGAAAAGTCGAAGATAAATTGAAATCTGAGATTTGGCAGTATGGCTAGAAGGCTTAGCTTGTAGCGGAGGACGAAAAATTTTACTACTACCAATAATATTTTTAAACGTAACAGTTACTGTTAGAGATGGTTAATATAATATATAGCTCAAATTATAACGTTAAATTAAAAAATAATTATAGCAATTATAATTTGAAAGACATAAAGCTGCTAAAATTATAACGAACTTTTTTTCACTTTGGATTGGAGTACGTTAAGAAAATTAAAGGAAATGCCATCTAGCGACATAATTTTACAACATTTCAATGCCATACCGTCAATCTATCCGTGCTTTACTTACGCAGCTAACAAACAAAATCCTTCTTCGTCCTGAGTTATCTCCCTTAATACTTCATAGATGGCACTATATTCTATGTAAAAATTGCGGCTCTTGACATTGGTTGAAACAATTATAACGTGAAATACTTTCACATATTATTTGTAGCACTTAACGTTTGGTGCGAAACGCGAAATAGCTGATGGGTTTATTGATGTTAAATTTCACGTTTGAGTACGCTAAGCGCTAATTGCTATATTTGGCACTTAGCAAGTATTATAATTGTAGTTATGTTATAAATTATAATTTTGATTACGTTTTAATACGATTTTGAGCGAATGGTGGAACGTTGCAAAATTTCGTCTGGTGAAGCGATTTAAATTAAGATATAATTAAGTACTTGGATTTATTTAGTTAGTTTAGCGTTTGTTTAATTAATAAGTCGTTGTAATATTTGTATATAAAAGTACAAGTGTGTGCGTTATTATTCATTACTATGAGTGTAATTTACTGTACATAACAAGTGTAAATTTTGTGCAAATTGTAAATAGTAAATTGTTAAAGCATGAAGGGAATTCATTAATTTATCGTCTATAACCTGTAACCACCATAAAGTAATAGTTACAAAACAAATGAAGTCGGTCGTAACTAACCATAAAAAACGGTTCTATAGATCTACTTAACAAGTTAGAGCACGTCAACTATTTCATGTTTCTTTCCATTCGTTACATTATCACACGACTTTGAGCTGCTAAAAATTATAATTTCAGCACTTTAAATAGCGCGCTATAAAAATTTAGCATTTAGCCTGCTATGCGAATATAGCAGTTAATCACATCTCTAGCTACTGTCAAAAAATATTGTTTACTTTCTTTACTTTACTGCAATGTAACCTAAAAATTGCACGTGAATAAATATTTCAATACATGAGTGAAAAATAAATAAAAATGCCCAAATTTCACATCGACGAGGTGTTTCCTAAAGGCGATTTATATCCATTAATAGTGAACTTTCAAAATGGATATACCACAGCCGAGTTTCAAACAAAAGAATGTCTGTTGCTAAAAAATGAAAATACTGGGAAAACTTGCATAGCTACGGAGTTAAATGACCTTGTATATGCTGGAGAAGAGGATAACGAACCTTTAGGTACTTCATTTTAGTTAATACTTAGTATGCCAAATACAGAAAAAAATACAAAAACATTTAGTTCACCTGCAACGGAGGGGACAGTATAGAGAAGTTTTATGAAAGGGTTGGAGTATACGAAAGGGTGGATGGAGAAGACTTTTTAAACTGTTTTTAGTGTTTATTTAAATAAACCTTTTTGTTCTTATTAATTATTCCCTGTAGTCCATAATTTTCTAGAAAATTAAGCTCCAAAATAACACAAGCGCGACTACGTCACAAACACTACAAAATTATACTCAATATGTAATTATACTTGTTGTATAAATGTTTTTAAACTACTGTAAAACTATGACACAAATCTGTTTATGGTTCAAGTACTAATAGACCATATAGAGACAGAATAAAATACAAAACTTGGTATTAATTCAAATATGAAATACTACACATCGCGCCACGGCTTTGTCTTTGTCTGTGTGGAATAAGTAATTTGAGTAGCCTATGATACTATACTAGTTTTCATAGTTTTATTGGTTCTCCATACAAACTTTCATCCCCTATTTCACCCCACTTAAGATTTATTTTTGTGACAAAAACTGGTCTATGTCCTTCTTCTAGGTCCTATCTAATTCTATACCTAAATTCATCAATATCAGTCATGGAACTATTCGTTCAGCTTTGAAGATGCGAAAATGTAATAGAGTTACTTTCGTATTTGTAATATTAGTTTGGTTGGATTGACAAAAAATTAGACGAGCAGCTTTCGCTTGTATGTCCACATCCTATATCACATTGTTGAAATTTATTTAGTTTCTTATTGTTTACTTTTTTATCACTAATTCACTCTTTCGTAGCCAGTTGTCGAGCTTGTTTTTGAAGGCATTAACAGAGACAGCAGACACATCTTCCAGTAGCATGTTCAAATTATGCACCACTCTGTTGCTGAAAATATTGTGTGCAACAGGTGTTTTGAAACATCTCTGAAATTTATTTATCTTCGTCATCAAACTTAAGAGTTATATCTTGTCGGTGGAGCATCTTCCAATCAGCTCCTTGACCTCCTTATGTGACTCAACACCGGCTTTTTCCTTTACTTGTGTTATGAAGAATAAATTTTTACAGATGGAAGGCTATTCAATATTTATCATGATGGTGGTGTAATTGATTTGGATTATATTTAGCTACAAAGTGCTTGACTAAAAAGCAATACCGCATGACACACAACCCTAAGGATTTTAGTAACATAGATTGTCCAAGGAAGTACTTCCACCTTACTGACTTCTGCCACCAAGCCCAAATGTGAACATTACTGTGTTCTGGTTTTGAAGAGTGCTGGAGTGAAATTACAGGTTCATGGAACTTGTCACCTTATGTCTAAGGGTGAGATGGGCGCAGTGGCAGTGCCCCTCGGATCTTTGCGATTTAAAGGTCTGATTGGCACTGCAACTGTTATGGACAGGCGTGTCGCTTACCACCAGGCGCACAACTCGTTCGTCCCGCTACTTGATATAATAAAAAAAATTATGATTAGGATGAAGAAGTCATACACTTGGTCTAAGTGCACGACTTGTTTATTCTCTCACTTGGTAGAATATATAAAAAAAAATACTAAGCATTCACCAACCGTGCTCCCTAGTGCACGGTTGGTGAATGCTTAGTATTTTTTTTTAACCTTGTATCGCGGGTGCTATGGACACACACGTAGACAACCACAAATCACACACAAAGTCACTAGAGAAATAAATGTAGGCCATAGAAATATTTCTCCCGGAACGAGAACCGAATCTGGGACATCTCCGTGGCAGTCCAGCATAGTAACCATTCGGCCACAGAGGCAGTTTTTAAATCGTTCTTCATTTGTTTATTTTTGTAATAAAGTGGCTAATTAAATTACTTGTCTATAACATTATTAAATCATTATTCTTTTTCTTCTCAGGTAAAACATTAATATTAACAAAAAACCGAAAAACCGGTAAAGTCCGTTTAATTGAAATAATGTCAGCAGAATTGAAACCGATTTTAAAAATTGACAATTATGCTTCACAACTTTTAGAGACAAGCAATTTAGAGCTGAGCCGCAAGTTTGGTTCTAAAAAACACAAACAGCAAATGGAACAAAAGGAAAAATTGAAAGTCAACATTCAAACTGTTACCGAACAAATGCAGAATGTAACTGACACCATTACGGAGGAGAAACTTGACCTATCGTCGTATAACAAGAACGATTCAGACGATTTTTATATACCACCGATTAACCGATTAGCTGACAGACCGGAAGATGTATATGATATTGATAAAATTTTAACAGAGGACCAGTTGGAAAAGATATGGTCAGAATTAGAGGATAAAGATTACGAAGCAAACATGTTTCCGTTTATAAAACATATAATGTCTTCGAGAAAACTTTCTGAGAAACATACTGTACTAGCTGTATATGCAGATTCGCTTTTAAAGTTGTATTTAACAAATATACGAGAGATTTCGAAAAAAAGTTACGTGATCTGTCCGCACTCCGTGAAGTTGAATGAGATAATTTTATCTTCATTCACAACTACGACCAACAATAGACGGTGTAGACCAACACAGTATAAAGACAAGGCATTATGTCATGCCTTGGTATTTATATTACTTATAAATAAATTAAAATTTGAGCTAGAAGGATTATGTAACGATGTTAAACTAACTGTGAATAATGCGTCAATGAAAATTAGGGTGACCGGAGCTCACGTTGTTAATAGTGGTAGTAAAAAAATTATACAGTTAAAGTTACCGTTGAATACAAAAAATGCTTTCAGAAGGAAAAGCGCTAGGTTTTAGTTTTAAGTTTTTGTTTTGACAAATGTATAGTTTAATATTAAGAAATAAAGAATTTCATTTGTTTTTTCTCTTAAAACAATTTGTACAAAATATTCTCGCCCCTCTCACATGACGGTCGTAATCATGGGACCTGTGAAGTCCACGAAACGTTTCGGTTTCTTTAAAAGAACAATATAAGCGTGTCCTGGTTTCAATACGTATCTGCATATATATACTGCGTATACATATCTGTTCCTATTAAAAAAATCGTGCCTTACTCCAGCGTGACCATGGTCGAGTTTTTGAAATTGGACTAACCAAATAAATTAACTATTTAGTCGGTTCTAGTCGCAAAAAACTAGATTTAGTCAGCCCGCCTTTTAAAAGTTATAAGGTTGTTTTGCTGCTTTAATTCTAAACAAAGGAGCGTTTCGCGACTAGAACTGACTTAATTCACGTTTTTTTCTGGATGCTATCAGATCTAAGCTAGGAGCTGTAGTTCTCGAGATTCAAAAATGGCGCCGCCAGAATTACATTATGCCGACGTGGACAGTAAAACATCTTAATAACTTCAAAACGGCGTAACGACTAAATATAATTTTTACGACTAGAACCGACTAAATCGCGATTTTTTTTGTGTAATCAGATTTAAACTAGGTGTTCTGGTTCTCGACATTGAGAAATGGTGCCGTTGTAATAAGCTTATGCCATCGGACATGGACAGTAAAATACCCTTATAACTTTTCAACGGCGGACCGATTAAATCTAATTTTTTGCACTAGAACCGACTAAATAGCAACTTTTTACCTGTATTTGAGTTCGAAAAAAATTTATTTCAAAAAATTTTGCCTCCTATAGAACTCACATGAGTATTCAGCTTCTGTGCTTGAGCAAGCCACATCTTGTGGTTTGTGACTGTACCAATTCACAATGCAAAAAACGAACCTACTCAGAAACCCTGAATATGACTTTCGATCAGTCTTATCTGGGTCCATAACCATTGTGAAGAAGTCTTCTATGCCATAAAATCTAGACAAAAATAAAAACAACCAATTTTCATATACTTTAAAGTTGCCTTGTGTATGTTTGCTATTCGCAAAGTGGCAGACGCACCAATACAAGGTCGTCTGCATCAACCACAGAACAATAATACTGTAGAAGTAGTTAGTTGACATCAGACGTGTACCAACTATAGATCTCGAAAGGCCTATGTGAGCTCAATCTGTCATTTTCGCTTTGTATGGTATGGTTGTCATTTTTTGTGCAAATTCTCTAAAATCCCAGAAAAATGCCATATTGTGCTGTTATGGAGAGCAAAAATGATCACCGCACCAACAATATTACCTGTGGCGGTATTATTTTTTTATATAATTTGAGGTCGGTATTAAAAAAATGTTACAAATATAGGACATATTATTTATCTTTAAAGTTACCCTGTGTATGTTTGTTATTCACAAAGCGGCAGGCGCACCGAAAGAAAATGCCTTCGCTTCAACCTAGAGGCTTTACAAGTTTCACAGCTTCACATTGTAATCACATTTTTTGTCTATTTCCTTCGTAGATACTTGCAACCAAATATAATATAATCTCAGTACAGAGTGGAATTACTTCTATTTGTTAAGTTTTATTGAAATATCCCTTAGTTCGCCATTATACAAGACTTGACACTGGAGATAATAAAAATCGGTTCTCATTACGACATTACTCAAAGTATATTGAGAGAAAAACACCTTGAATGGGAGTAATAGCAAAATCAACCATTAAAATAATTGCTCCTAAATTAAAGTTAGGCGCTATTTATAAAAATGAATCTTCATGCGTGAACAGCCACCCTTCGAGGTGGATGATTTTCTTCAAAATGAAATGGGACCACTTTGGAAGTACCCCCTTTCCAACAAAAAAGGAATTATGAAAATCAGTTCACAAATACCGGAGTTATCGCGTAACATACATACAAAAAAAAACATACAGTCGAATTAAGAACCTCCTCCTTTTTTGAAGTCGGTTAAAAATAAAATAAAATTTATTTGACAAAAAATGTTAACAACTTTTTCAACACATTTGCTCGTAACGGGCTTCTTATTGTATCGCTTTTAGGCTCATAAACCTAGCTATTGAACACGCGTTTGTAATTATATTACAAAACGTGTGTGTAATAAGTATAGGCTTAACCGGATTTAAGATGTATCTCACAACAAGGCCTATGTATTAAAACTATGCATTCTTAAATTATCCGGGTTATGTCTTTGAAATTAACTTGGTCTATTAAAAAAACAGCTCTAACGTACATATTATAAGATTCAAATTACAATGACAGTAATCCCAAACAAACAGGGTCACAGTTTTTTTTTTATTTCTGTTTAATACGGTTGTGTTAAACAGAAATATTTTTATTAATAAATTTATATTTCTTATTTGATGTGATAAATATAGAAAAACATACACAATATACACCTATAAAACTTTAATTGAATAAAATTACTTATTTTGGATAATATTTTACACGAATTTGAGTGAAATAAGGACATATTTATATTATTTCGCATTGGCTGTTTAGGAATTTCACCTAAGTCTCATTATTGCCGAAGCACCTGCGCGCGCATATCCGCGCCGCGGCGCCAGGCGCAGAAAAAATAACTCTGCGCGCCAATTTCCATTGATACGTTCGAAACATTTATAGGTATACGCTGTGTGTTAGATAATTACCTAGGTGTTTAAAATGTCCTGCTCAAGCACGGAAGAAAACATTTTGATGGATTTAACACCGCCCGAAATCCTCACAGAGGCACAAAACGCAAGTGACAGTTTATTACCTTCGAAATCCAGAGAAAAATACATGGCTGCATATGAAACTTTTAATTAATGCCAAATAAAGCTATTTTTCATTTCCATTTTACTCAAGTTTGTTTCATTTTCCTCGCAAATGTGTTGAAAAACGTCGTATGAAACACGTGTGCTTTGATCATTACACTCTCGGCTTTCTTATCGCGCTCGCCTGCGGCTCGCGCGAGTAATAACGCCTCGTGTGTAATGACCAACTTAGCACACTTGTATCATAATGTACTATTTTCTTTCTTGGTTTTTTGCAGTTAGCGTGTCAACCACTTTACAAAGTGTTTTGACATTGTGACTTAGATCGTTTTATTGCACTGACAACATTAATCGAAACTGACACTGGCCCACCCAAGCCTAGTGGTCGCCATTAAGGATATACAATAGAAATATTAACTATCATAGTCCATTTCATTAATTTAGAAACGGTATTAGGTAATAGGAACGTGGAGAAAGAGTGAAAAAGAGATCAGGCGAGGATCTATGAGATGTAAATAAATATTTAGTTAATATACAGAATAAACAATTTCAAATTTACCGCGGTCCACACAAAGCAAGCCTGAATCGTGAAGTCCCAAACGATTTCTACTCTCAAATATATTATAGTGTATGATCTATGGTTTCTACTGTGATATTTACTACGATATTTACAATATGATAATTTTTTTATTGGCCTCTAAAAATAATACAAATAGATATAAAAATAGATAAGATAAGTAGGTATATATATTTTAAATAGATAATTAACCACAATCAATAGTATTGTAAATTTATATTTGATAATATCGATCGATATAGAAACTAATTTTCAAGGTCAATTAATAATAGTCAATCAAACTATCGCCGCGGCCGCCATTGTTGTTTGGACGTAAACGGCGGCGGCGCGGGCGCAGACAGGGCAGATATACTGGTATTATGTAATAAGCGTGTTGTCGACTGCCAAATTACATGTAGGTATAATATGTTAAACACCAATTCGATTTCTTGGAATTTCTCAGAGCACAGACATTAAACTGGAGACTACTTATATAGTTCATGAACTTCTGTCTAATTAACTATTTAACTATTTAAGTCAACCGTGACCATGGGACCTGTAAAGGGCCCGAAACGTCGGTTTGTTTGAAAAAACAAATATACGCGATTTAAATCCGGAAAAATAGTTTCATTTCCTATGTGTAACAATCGCGAAAACCTAAGAACTCGATAACTATTTAACTGTTTTTAAGATGTTTCAGACTAACTCAAAATTTATAAAGATCAGCACTGGGTTCATTTTAGTGCGTATTGACGAATCTATTACTAAAATAAAAAATCTGGGATTATTAACCTAAAAGTGCATTTTATTTTGGAATTAAAAAAATAATACATGACATATGGACTGTGAACTGGCAACCGGTACTATCTCAATTTTGATAACTTTACGGGATGATGAAAAAATCGGAAACCAGATGCTATATAGTTGATTAAATAAAAATACGTAGTGCACATACATACATGTGTAATAAAAACATTTAAAAACTACGTAAGTATTTTTATTCAATAAACCAGATGCTATATAAATGACGCAAACAATTTTTTTCTTCACCTGTAAAGTTGTCAAAATTGGGATAGTACCGAATGGCCAGATCACAGTCGACATGTTCTATCATATTATCATTGACTTACAAATAAATGGACGACGGGTCTAATACAAAAACCACGAAAAAAATGTCCCAAGTCAACCTATTTAAAGTAATATGAAAAAGCTAAAACGTTGAATTTAAATTGTAATGTCATCGCAGTACTGTTTAATTTTGCTTGCTTCGCTGTCAGTCGAACAAACGAAGACTAAGATCGTATACAGAGCGTGAATGACGCTCTGTATACGATTTTAACGCCCTATAAGTTCGGACACTTTTTAGCGCGTACCCGACGTACATATAATTGTAGGTCAATGCTTCACTAAATTGAATGTATTTTTAACCGACTTTAAAAAAAAAGGAAGTGGTTCTCAATTAGACGATATTTTTATTTATGTTACATACTCCATTCTGTTGCCTTACTTTCTCAAATGGAATGGAATACAAAAAATGCATTGTATATATAAATTTGCAGGCTGATTTCACATGACATTTCCTTCATATTCACACACTGGTTTTTACCTATTCTTCAGTAATGCAATACAATTTAACACCCTTGATAAGAAATTT